TTAATAATTAATTAATTATCTTTTTTAATTGCATAATTTTTTCAAACTATATAACCATATTTTATAAATAAAATTATTATTTAATCATCTTAGTGATGCACAAACATATTCAATATGAAAACTTTTAATCACAACTGTTTCGAAATGCTGCGATGGACTGGCTCTCCGTCCAGGGTGTACCCCGCCTGATTGACCACTGGAGATAGGCACCAGCCCCCCCCCCGACCCTATGTGGACAAAGTGGGTTCAGACAATGGATGGATGGATGTTTCTAAGTGAAAATACAAAAACTAAACCAGCTCCATCTACTCCTGTTCCTCTCCTTTTACCTCTGGACAAACTGTGTGATGGGAGGGTCCTTGTAGTTTTACGAACTGCAAATTAAACTGAAGCAAAAATTTTTGCTGTGAACAAAATTTACGTTTTTATGTGATTGATCCTGTTTAACAAACTTTTTCTAAAAGGGATGAAACATGATTCATATTCGCTGTTATTACTGGAATAATGACAACACGCCCAACTGAAACAGACTTCTCATGTGTACGATGCAGGCAGCTAGTTTAGTGTCGCCTTCAAGGGTAATGCCTATTACAGCCATGCATAAAGCAGCCTGTACCATTATTTCTTACATAGCCCAATTATGTTCTCTGAACCAGATTTTGGGTTGATGGACTTTTTGTGTTTGGGAATATTTTTAAATGAGCTTAATAGGTGGACGGAGCCATTAGAGCTTCCAGATTACTCTTTATTTTAAACCCATGTTCAAAAAGTCCTATTTGCTCTCAGTCTTTGCTTTCTTATGTAATATTTTCTCCACCAAATCTATCGTCTATGTTCACTTTTCCCCTAATATTTGTTCCAAGAATTAACAAGAGGTTCTGCTTTCTGATGGATGTCCGTTTATATTCTGTACAGCGACTTGAAAGTTTTGAGTGATTGTGGATTAACACGTAAACAGAAACCGTTTAATTGCACCCTCTGGGAATCTTTCACTGAATCTAAAGCAGCTCTTAAAACAATAAATGCAATATGCAGCTTGCAGATACAAAACTTCACAAAACACATTTTGAAAACGGAAATGCAACAATTGGAGCAAAAAATATGAAACAACGCCAATTATTTTTAAGCCATAATTTGGCAGAAAGTGAACCGCTATTTGTCATTTCAAAGCTTGCATCCATCAGCTGAATAGAACCATCTTCTAGGAAGTTAGTTGTATTTATTTTTTAACTTGGCCATAATTAAAGCTTCCAGACTCCACATAGATGGAGCTGACGTGAGACTCAGGTGTCCCCTCAGCAGCTCCCCTTACGTCCACATGAAGCTCATCTTCGTTGAGTGAGCTGTGAAGGTAGAATAGCGTGATGGTGCTGGCCTGTGGGGTGGACATGGTGCTTCCTCAGGCACGGTTAGCTCTCTCACCATTGTAGCTTTGAGTGAGCGCTACAAAAAACACTAAAGAAGAAGAAAGCCGCAGCTGATGATGCCTCTGGCTCTCACTGGCAGACAAATCGCTGGTGGAAGCTGTGTGTGAGACATCAGCAGTCCTCTCAGCGCTGCTCCATCTAAGATTCATGCGGTGCGTCGGGGAGAAAGGGCAGCCAAAGAGCACCTCCCAGAGGCTTCTCCTCCCCGTATAATGCAGTGCCACACCCGCGGGGCTCCTCTTACATCTCCTGCCTGTTTCCCACCACACTGCCTCCGAATCCCTTAAGTTTTACACTTCACTGAAAAAAACTATTATTGTACTTTTTGCCCTGCTGAGCAGTGTAAGCCCACCAGATAGGAAACCATTGTTTGTGGGGGCTGTATACACCATAACAACTTTACTTCAGACCAGGCCACTTAATAAGGAAATGGGTAGCATGGACAGGAGTTAGAAGGGTCTTCCTCCTCTCACATATAAAGCTGAGATGCTCAAGATGGAGACTGAGAAGTTGTGAGAGCACTGAATATCAGCAGGTCTGTTGAAGAAGAATGAGGCAAGCAGGAAAAAGACAGTTAGAAACAGAAAAGGATAAAGTAGAGAGGCGTGAGAAGTGAATGAGGGATGGAGATGCCAAGCAAGGAGCAGAGAGCGGCGCAGGAAGACGGTGATGGAGTGGTGGCGCGGGGAAGGAAAGAGGAAAATGGAGGAATAATGGATGAAGACAGTAGAAGTGCATTAGAGCTGAAGGTGGCATTTGGTTCCCAATAGATGGAGGGACTTTGCAGGATCCCAACATCTGGATGTCTCTTTATCTATGTGTGATGCTTAGACACAAGTTTGGTCATTTTTAGAACAGTTTAGAACTCCTTGTTTACGCTTGGCTTCCAATAACCTAGACTTTGTTGTGATCTAAATATGCATTTTGGAAAGTCTTTTTAGGACTTAGTCACCTTTTCAGCCACTTTCTGTGGATGTTGCCATAAAATTAAAAGACAATGAAACATTAGATGAAAAACAAATCTATTTCAGTTAAATGAGACCAGAAAGTCACAAATAGGTGGTAAATTAAATACTATTTTATGTTTGTTAAACTGTGTTGTCTTTCCCTGAATCTACACCACCCAGACCAAAAAAAGTCACCACCTGGACTTAACTTAGCAAATAGGTACAAGCCTCCTGTTGGATAATTCCTGCATCTTTCAGCTGGCAACAACTTGTTTAGCTCCAACTGGTGCAACTAGTGCCTATTGTACAAGTCTGTGGGGGCAGTATTATGATCTGGGGTTGCTGCAGTTTGCCAGGTCTAGGTTCAGCAACAAGATGTGCTCCAAGAATGAGGTCAGCTGACTACCTGTATATACTGAATGACCAGGTTATTCCATCTCCCCTGATGTCACTGGCATATTCCAAGAGGACAATGCCAGGATTCATGGGGCTCAATAGTGAAAGAGTGTTTCAGGGAGACATCATTTTCACACATGGATTGGTCACCACAGAGTCCAGACCTTAACCCCATTGAGAATCTTTAGGATGTGCTGGAGAAGGCTTTGTGCAGCAGTCAGACTCTACCATCATCAATGCAAGATCTTGGTGAAATATTAATGAATCACTGGACGGAAATAAATCTTGTGACATTGCAGAAGCTTATCGAAACAATGCCACAGCAAATGTGTGTCATAATCAAAGCTAAAGAAAAATAAACAGTTGGATAGGAGGCTAGAAAGGTACTTCATTTAGCTATCTTGCTAATAACAGTGAAGAGCGTCAACAAATCAGCTAGCTGAAGCTCATAGCTCTGAAAATCATATGGTTGGTTTTCTAATTTATATTATAAATAAATGTAAATAGATTCTGCTAAATAAATGGAAATATTTTGTGACAGGCTGGTATTGATGATTGATAATTAGCTAATAACTTTATCAAAGATTGAATGAATGCTACTGCAGTTGCCTATTGGTATGAGTGTCCACCCTGGGACTGGGAGACTGCGGTTCAAATCTCGATTGGGTCATACAAAAAGACTTTAAAAATGGGAACCTGCTGCCCTGCTTGACAGCTTTAAGGGGTTTTATGGAGGGGGGGGTAAGCCACCAATTTCCCGAGCGCAGCCACTGCTGCAGCTCACCACTCCCAATGGGGATGGGTCAAATACACAGGACAGATTTTCCCCACACCAGTGGCAGCACAAAGACACACAGGACAAACAGTCATGCACACACACACACCTTAAGATAATTTAGAGACCAATCGACCTGACATTCATGTTTTTGGACTCTAGGAGGAAGCCGGAGTACCTGGAGACAACCCACTCACGCACAGGGAGAGGATGCAAACTCCATGCAGAAAGACTCCAGGCCGGCTTTCAAACCCGAGACCTTCTTCCTGCAAGGCAACAGCACTGACCACTGCACCACTGTGCAGCCCCTATACAGTTCAATAAAATAAAAAGTTAAAAACAAGCTAAAATTTTAAAACCCTGATGGAACTGTATAAAAAGTGTTATCTAAGGGGACTTTGGGCGTTTAATGTCTGAGTGATTTATAGCTCAGGGAAATGGTATGGCAAATAAACAAAAAGAAAATATTTATCTAACTGACACGTGATGGATTTAATACGAGTCAAAAGGAGCTTAAGCCTGAAGAATTGTTGATCAAGATTACCAAAATGCACCAAAATTGAAAGAAACTATGAATGATCTGAGATTCGTTTACAGAACTGCAAATCTAAAGCTTTAGCAAAAATGTAAAAATATCTTATTGTGAGTGAAGACACGAGTGCACCGACACTGAGCATCAACAGAGTTCACCATGAAGCACGCCCAGACAATACATCTAAAACATTTACTATTGTCTGGCTGTAAAAATAGCTCCTGTTTAAGTCAGGTGAGTTAAAACACGTGCCAGAAAATCATGTTGTCACCCTTTCACCCCCTCACACACACACACAGTCACACGTTCACACCCACACATGCTCTCATGTGGCCCCCAGAGAAGCCTGTCACCAGGAGTAGCCCTCTGCCATGGGAGGATAAACTACCTGTCACAGCCAACACTTTCTGTGGAATTCATATCAGAGGCTAAACAAAGGAGGTGCTGAGGTCACGGGGCATCACTCTTAAATTATTCATCCCCTGCTTCCTCCCTCCGTCTCCTCTCAGCCTGTCACCTACTTTGTTCTGCCAGCTCACAACAAGAGCGACTGTCAGCCTCCTCCTTGCCTCTGATTTTTAGGATACTATGTAAATAAGTATAATAGTGAAAGCCCTTCATGGATATTACTAGTTGGGTGTTTGTGGGGGTGCGTTAGGTCCAAGTCAATTGTCTGGCGAGGTTCAGGAGAAGCAGCACATGTCTCCACTTCTGAATGTCACAGCATCATGAAATTTTAAAATATTCCTTCCCTCCCACTTGCTGTTTGGTCTCCTTGAGTGCATAATTCATCAGCGCCTTGGCAGCTACTTGTTTGCATACACTTGCAGGACATGTCTGAGGTGGACGGCCTCGAGATTCTTCAGGAGTTCCAACTGGAGCCAGTCCATTAACGGCACGGCGTGTTTGCTTTCTGTTTGCAGAAGCAGCTGTCTGCTCTGGGTGTGGCCGATGCCTGGGACCAGGAGGTGGCCGACGTCTCCGGGGCGTCCGGCAAGAGCACAGGGAAGCTTCACCTCGGTGGTGTCCTCCACTGGGCTTCCCTGGAACTGGGTGCCGGGGCTGGGAAACAGGATGAAGAGTCAGAGGAGGAGAAAATGGACAGACCCAAGATGTTCTACGCTGATCACCCATTCATCATCTTAGTTCGAGACAACGCCAGCAGAGCCCTGCTGATGATGGGAGCTCTGGACCACGCCGAGGGAGAAGTACTACACGATGAGTTGTAGCATCCCTCCTCAGTCTCCTTGTGTCTCGTCTCCTTCTCTGAGACTACATTCCCAGTGCAGACGTTGTCATTCACTGTATCACATCAGACTTCGTCTGGCTGTCAGACACTGACACTGCCATCCCCGACCCTTACACTGTCACACACACACACACACACACACACACACACACACACACACACACACACACACACACACACACACACACACACACACACACACACACTACATGGAATGTATAAATGATAATACCGTACAAGACATTACTGAAGCTGACACATACAGCAAAACCATCAACTTAAAGAAAGTTGATGGTTTTCTCCTCCCACGTCTGCACCCACACTCTCAAGCACATTCGAGGACCGATCCAGTCGAGACAACATGACAAACGAGATGGCTCTGGCAAACACCAGCATGCTGACAAGCAGAAGTGACACAACACTTAAAGCAGCTTGAAGTGACACCTCCCCATCAGTAGAGCTAAGGCTTCCCATGTGCTGGCTGACAGACAGATCCAGGGTGACCGCCTGGATGCTCTCTGAGCTCAGCTCGTGGCAGTCCCCAGAGCTTCATCTGAGGAAGACCGATGGTTCAGCCAAGTCCATATTGATGAGCCAGCTTAATGCTAATGACTGCAATGCCTTACAGCGCTTGTCAACATCACCGAGAGGACAGTGAACCTTTTAATCTCTTAATGCCATCTGTGATCAATGGCGCCTTTATACAATTGGAAACAAACATGCTCAACATGGTTTGACTTTAGTGTAGCGAGTTCATTGTAAAGAATGATTTCATGAGGTCAAAGACTTATTGATTGGTGCTTTGTTTTAATTAATAAATAATCCATCATGGATGGTCTTGGATTTGCTTCTCTTTTGTAACAGTGGTTGCAAAATCTTCTTGCATCTTTGATAGGGAAAATAGCAAAGGTCCAAAGAAGGACCTGAAAAATAGTTCCTGGCAATTATTACTGCAAGTTTAGTTATTAGGTGGTTTGTTGTTCCTGATATTCTATCCTGCTATCAAACAGGTTTTCCATCTGTCAAAATGCTTCACTAATACTTATTAGAAACTCACTCTGTTGGTGCTAAAATAGCTTGTGATATTTAATTTGGCGTAAAGGAAACCAAGTTTTGCTTTTGTAACAAGCTGCTAGCAACTAAGTAAGTAGATAGCAAGCTTATAGCTAACAAATTATTGTTTTTTTTAGCTTTGTAGATAATTTGGTTGAAGCTGAAAACTCGGAGAGTAGAGAGGAGAGGTATTCAGAGTGAGTTTCTGCTCATTAAATAACAATAGACAGCTACAGCTTATAAGCTTGACTCCCATATTTCAGTCAGAATTGACGAACATCCTCAGACGAAAAGCTAAACGTCTTCAAGAAACCAAAGAAGTCCAGTTGCCTTCATTTGAATCCTTTGGGCTACCGTGACCTGGATTACTGAGAACCTTAACCAGCATAAGCTAAAGATAATATAATACATCAAATTGGTTTGTTTTGATAAAAAATTTTGAACATTCTGAGACAAATTGTTGGCATTAACTTTACTTAAAGGACAAGTGTCGCCCAAATCAACTTGTTTTTGCTGATAAACTATATAAATGAGTGTCTAATCGTGCTGTGGACACATGTCGTCAATAATTTGGCACTTTAGTGCATCTTAAAATAAATATTCTGCCTAAAACTGTCAATATTGCACAGTCAGGTAAAAACTCTGCACAGCATTTGAACTGAAATCAGCCATTACTAGGCTAAGAAGTACATAATGTTAGCTGGTACATTATGAGGTCACAATGTCATTGTGAGCCTGTGTGTGTGTGTTTGTTAGCGTCTCCGCCCTTTTGGTCTGCCAGGCAACAGCAGTGGCATTTTTCAAACAGGAAATGGGAGTGGAGTAAGACTGGTAGGGGGTGACTTGCTCTTTAAATGCAGATTGAAAGCTAGCCAATAACTGCCTTACACTGACCGTATATTCCATTGACAATACCACATGTTTTAGCTAATGGGACTTTAGGAATCAGCTTTGTTCTTCATGGTAAGGTCTATTCAGGGGTTCTGGAAAGGAGGGTCCACCAGTTGTTGAACCTCGGATCATAGAGGAGCAATGTGGTCTTTGTCCTGGCCGTGGAACACTGGACCAGTTCTATACTCTTTGTTTACCAGTCGATCTACGTTCCAACCCTCACTTATGGTCACGAGCTTTGGGTAGTGACTGAAAGAATGAGATTGTGGAAAAAAGTGGCCGAAAATGAGTTTTCTCCGCAGGGTGTCTGAGCTCTCCCTTAGAGATAGGATGAGACGCTCGGTCATTCAGGAGGGGCTCAAGAGTAGATCTGCTGCTCCATCTAGAGGAGCCAGTTGAGGTGGCTCGGACATCTGGTTAGAATGCCTCCTGGACGCCTCCCTGGTGAGGCTTTCCAGGCACGTGCAGCCAGGAGGAGACCTAGAGGAAGACCAGGACACGCTGGCGGGACTTTGTCAGCCAGCCAGGGAACGCCTCAGAATTCCCCCAGAGAAGCTGGCCCATGTGGTTGGGGAGAGGGAAGTCTGGGCCTCCCTGCTTAGGCTACTAACCCCACAACCGGACCCCAGATAAAAATGGATCGTTGGATGAATGGACATAATCAAACAGTTTTTAATGTTAATCCATTAAAAATATTTTTATTAGAAGAAGAAAGTAGATTTTTGTCAGGCTGGAAGAATGACTCGTGACTTTAGCCAGTGTTTTCCCCCAATGCAGTCCGATCGATCACAAACTGATCAATAATACATATGTGAACTGTCACAGCTCTGTCTTTCCTGACAGCTTTGAATAATTTGAAGACACGGGGCTTTTTCGGTTTTCTCTTCCACTGAGATCTGAATTGGTTGACACTGAGCCTCAAGGGTGCATCTAAGTGGATTTGAAGACCTGAACCAGCATCAGTTATAAGATTTTAGTGGCAACACACGACAGACTTGGAAACGTAGCAGCAAGTTTGTGAACACACTCGCCAAATGCTTCCAAGCAACCGCGGGCAAAATGTTTCTTCCATTTATCCAAATGAATAATGGAGCAGTAAAATATACGAGTGGAGAAAAGAAAACAGTCCCTTTTTGACTTTTGCTTTTAAAATGCTGTTTTCAGTGTTTTATTTAAAGAACAAGAACGCTTCAGTCCAACTGTCCATCTGTCTACGCAAACTAAACATTTGTGCTCCGTTCCTGTTTTATCCCGGCGAAAGCCCAGAAACAAACAGAAAACAGAAGTGTTGCTTTGTGTGAAGAGTAAAAATGTAGCTACATCTGTGCTGTTTTCTTGCCAATGTAGGTAAGGCCGTCTAGAGTCTAGACACACAGCTGCTCCGTCTGAATCACTGCATGCAAACAAAGTATTTTCAAAAACTCACAACCGCGTTCTAGCTTTCACCTAAATTAGCCCCCTCATGCAGCTCTGCTCGGCAACAGCGAGCGTTGCTGCAGTTCCCTCTCCGCAGTGGCCTCCCTGTAAAGGGCACGGATACTGCGGGTATACTCGGCAATGAATAAAGCCCGCGTGCAGGATTCAGACAGGCCGATGATGGATCTGAGGTTGTCTGCTGTGAGCACATCAATCCTGCTTATTCTAACACCAGCTCCCAGCTGGCTCTCCTTCACATTTTATTCAGGTCAGAAGACTGACGAACACACGCGCGTCTACATCGACTCACGCGCAGACAAACATAATGTGAGTTACAAGGGAGCGGTAAGAAAAATCAATCGTCTGTGCTGAGAAGCATCCGTTCCTAAAGATCACAACAAGCTCTAATGTGGCCGCGCCGGTTTCAGCTTGCTGTGGTTTTCCGTAAAACAACAAAGCAGCTCAGGGGAAGGTAAGTTGGTGCTGTGCCACTAGTTTCCTGTTTTACCAATCTGGTGGTTTAGATGCAGGTTAATGAAAATGGCAGACAGTTGCAGAGTGATGCAACTAGGAGCACTGGTGCCTCTGCTGGTTCAAATCCTGGCTGTGACCTTCAGGTTTAGGTAAAAGCAGCTTTAAAGAGCAAGTCACCCCCAAATAAACTTTCTTTTGCTGATAAACTAAATAAACGTGTGTCTAATCATGCTGCAGACACGTATTGTCAATAATTTGGCACTTCAGTGCATCTTAGTTAAAATTTAAATATTCTGCCTAAAACTGTCAGTGTTGTGCCGTTGTCAGGTAAAAACTCTGCACTGTATGTTAATTTAAATCTGCCACCGCTATTGGCTAAGAGGTATGCTATGATGTAAACTGGTACATTATGATGTCACAATGCTGTCGTGAGCCTGAGTGTGTGTGTATTTGTTAGCAGCTCCGCCCTCTCGGTCTGCCAGGCAACAGCAGTTGTTGCATTTTTCAAACATGAAGTGGGAGTGGAGTTAGACTCTGGTAGGGGTTGACTTGCTCTTTAAAGTTGGTGTGTTCTCCCCATGCATACATGGGTTTTCTCCGGATACTCAGGGTTTCTTTTGCAGAGGAAAACATGCATTTTAGGTTGACTGGAGACACTAACTTGCCCCTAAATGTGAATGAGTGAGTGACTGGTTGTGTGTAACCGTGTCACTGTGATGGGCAGGACACCGGTCCTGGGTGTCCCCCGTCTCTCATCCAATGACAGCTGGAGTTACATACCCGCTCTCCACACCCCTCATATGGAAGATGAGCAGCTACTTCCACTTTTCTCATTATTTAGTAGGTTAATACAATTTTCCTTGAAAAATATCATGAATATTGCTCAACTTTAATAAAGATTACTAAATGATATAATAAAAACATAAATAAACACATGAAGTGTGAAATAGGAAGAAAGTTTTAAGCAAGATAATACATAATAATACATTTATAATATTTCAGTAACAATAAAGGTCCCTTGAATAACATTTAGTGCATTATTAAGCATTAATAAACTATTAAAGTATTAACAATTGCTCAACCTTAATATGTAATGCACCCCCCAGGCCTTTGTCCTAACCTTAAGGATACTTAATAGTTAATAATGGCAATGTTATTAAAGGGACTCTCTTTATTAATGCTTAATAATGCACTAAGTAATGCTAATAAAGGGACCCGTATTATAAAGTGTTACCGGTTTTAAATGAAAAACGGACTTTTTTTGTATGTGTGTTTTAGTTGAACAGAACATTGAGTAAACCAAGTCACCTATAGTCACCAAAAACTTTGCTGTGTTTTTATCAAATATTATCCGAGTTTCATGTCTGACTTAACTCTGTCCTTCGCTAAATAAAAGCGCATGAGTGAGAGACGTGGGACACCCTGGACAGGTCTCCAGTCCATCACAGGGACACATTCACTCACACCTATAGGGACAATTTAGAGTCACCAGCTAACCAGTTCATTCGTGTTTTCTGTCTGTGGGAGAAGAGCCGAGTCTCCAGTGAAAACTCACATCATATGCATGGAGAGGACATGCCAACAGTGCCCCGTTCGGCCAACAGTATTTTAAAATAATAAATTATATATTTACATTTATATAATGATAGTAACATGCTGGTATTAGTGGTATTAGTGGCTGTGATTTTACAGAGTGCTCTTATACCATAAAGTGAGAGCGTGGGAATTGTGCTTGAGGTCACAATCTCACATGAACCATGCTTCATTTAAACATAACATTTAATTATACGCAGTGGAAAAATGCTATTTATTTATTTATGTATGTTGACTGCTTGTATTCATTCATGTCAACATCATTTAGATTTCATACAGAACTGGATGAGTTCATGTGAGGGTTGATCTCAAAGGACCATGAAACCACCGATGTCTAAATTAGGCCGCTAGCATACGCTAGCATACCGCTCAGATGTTATTTTTTTTATTTCCATATCTCGGCAATAAAAAGCAGGAATCTTTTGGACAGGTACTCGAGGTGAGCAGCGTTCGGAGTGCTCTGTGATGACTTGACACCATCGCCAGCTGCAGTTTCCTCCTAACCTCT